ATCGAAGGATAAGTCCCAGACAGGAGCTGCCCCCACCTCATACTTGTTCTGCCCTGACAGTCCAAAAAGAGCTCTACAAACTGACATCAGGAACCTGGACTGGTGAGTTTTCTTTCCCAGGGAAAAGAGCCGATGTTTGCGCTCCGAGTCCTGTGGCCCTGAGCGGGCAGCTGAGTGCAAAAAATCCGAACATCGAAGGATAAGTCCCAGACAGGAGCTGCCCCCACCTCATACTTGTGCTGCCCTGACAGTCCCAGGGAAGCCCTACAAACTGACATCAGGAACCTGGACTGGTGAGTTTTCTTTCCCAGGGAAAAGAGCCGATGTTTGCGCTCCGAGTCCTGTGGCCCTGAGCCGGCAGCTGAGTGCAAAAAATCCGAACATCGAAGGATAAGTCCCAGACAGGAGCTGCCCCCACCTCATACTTGTGCTGCCCTGACAGTCCCAGGGGAGCCCTACAAACTGACATCAGGAACCTGGACTGGTGAGTTTTCTTTCCCAGGGAAAAGAGCCGATGTTTGCGCTCCGAGTCCTGTGGCCCTGAGCCGGCAGCTGACCGCAAAAAATCCGAACATCGAAGGATAAGTCCCAGACAGGATCTGCCCCCACCTCATACTTGTGCTGCCCTGACAGTCCCAGGGGAGCCCTACAAACTGACATCAGGAACCTGGAATGGTGAGTTTTTTTTCCCAGGGAAAAGAGCCGATGTTTGCGCTCCGAGTCCTGTGGCCCTGAGCCGGCAGCTGACTGCAAAAAATCCGAACATCGAAGGATAAGTCCCAGACAGGAGCTGCCCCCACCTCATACTTGTGCTGCCCTGAGAGTCCAAAAAAGAGCCCTACAAACTGACATCAGGAACCTGGACTGGTGAGTTTTCTTTCCCAGGGAAAAGAGCCGATGTTTGCGCTCCGAGTCCTGTGGCCCTGAGCGGGCAGCTGAGTGCAAAAAATCCGAACATCGAAGGATAAGTCCCAGACAGGAGCTGCCCCCACCTCATACTTGTGCTGCCCTGACAGTCCCAGGGGAGCCCTACAAACTGACATCAGGAACCTGGACTGGTGAGTTTTTTTTCCCAGGGAAAAGAGCCGATGTTTGCGCTCCGAGTCCTGTGGCCCTGAGCCGGCAGCTGAGTGCAAAAAATCCGAACATCGAAGGATAAGTCCCAGACAGGAGCTGCCCCCACCTCATACTTGTGCTGCCCTGACAGTCCCAGGGGAGCCCTACAAACTGACATCAGGAACCTGGACTGGTGAGTTTTTTTTCCCAGGGAAAAGAGCCGATGTTTGCGCTCCGAGTCCTGTGGCCCTGAGCCGGCAGCTGACTGCAAAAAATCCGAACATCGAAGGATAAGTCCCAGACAGGAGCTGCCCCCACCTCATACTTGTGCTGCCCTGACAGTCCCAGGGGAGCCCTACAAACTGACATCAGGAACCTGGACTGGTGAGTTTTCTTTCCCAGGGAAAAGAGCCGATGTTTGCGCTCCGAGTCCTGTGGCCCTGAGCGGGCAGCTGAGTGCAAAAAATCCGAACATCGAAGGATAAGTCCCAGACAGGAGCTGCCCCCACCTCATACTTGTGCTGCCCTGACAGTCCCAGGGGAGCCCTACAAACTGACATCAGGAACCTGGACTGGTGAGTTTTTTTTCCCAGGGAAAAGAGCCGATGTTTGCGCTCCGAGTCCTGTGGCCCTGAGCCGGCAGCTGACCGCAAAAAATCCGAACATCGAAGGATAAGTCCCAGACAGGAGCTGCCCCCACCTCATACTTGTGCTGCCCTGACAGTCCCAGAGGAGCCCTACAAACTGACATCAGGAACCTGGACTGGTGAGTTTTCTTTCCCAGGGAAAAGAGCCGATGTTTGCGCTCCGAGTCCTGTGGCCCTGAGCGGGCAGCTGAGTGCAAAAAATCCGAACATCGAAGGATAAGTCCCAGACAGGAGCTGCCCCCACCTCATACTTGTGCTGCCCTGACAGTCCCAGGGGAGCCCTACAAACTGACATCAGGAACCTGGACTGGTGAGTTTTCTTTCCCAGGGAAAAGAGCCGATGTTTGCGCTCCGAGTCCTGTGGCCCTGAGCCGGCAGCTGAGTGCAAAAAATCCGAACATCGAAGGATAAGTCCCAGACAGGAGCTGCCCCCACCTCATACTTGTGCTGCCCTGAGAGTCCCAGGGGAGCCCTACAAACTGACATCAGGAACCTGGACTGGTGAGTTTTTTTTCCCAGGGAAAAGAGCCGATGTTTGCGCTCCGAGTCCTGTGGCCCTGAGCCGGCAGCTGACTGCAAAAAATCCGAACATCGAAGGATAAGTCCCAGACAGGAGCTGCCCCCACCTCATACTTGTGCTGCCCTGACAGTCCCAGGGGAGCCCTACAAACTGACATCAGGAACCTGGACTGGTGAGTTTTCTTTCCCAGGGAAAAGAGCCGATGTTTGCGCTCCGAGTCCTGTGGCCCTGAGCGGGCAGCTGAGTGCAAAAAATCCGAACATCGAAGGATAAGTCCCAGACAGGAGCTGCCCCCACCTCATACTTGTGCTGCCCTGACAGTCCCAGGGGAGCCCTACAAACTGACATCAGGAACCTGGACTGGTGAGTTTTTTTTCCCAGGGAAAAGAGCCGATGTTTGCGCTCCGAGTCCTGTGGCCCTGAGCCGGCAGCTGACCGCAAAAAATCCGAACATCGAAGGATAAGTCCCAGACAGGAGCTGCCCCCACCTCATACTTGTGCTGCCCTGACAGTCCCAGGGGAGCCCTACAAACTGACATCAGGAACCTGGACTGGTGAGTTTTCTTTCCCAGGGAAAAGAGCCGATGTTTGCGCTCCGAGTCCTGTGGCCCTGAGCGGGCAGCTGAGTGCAAAAAATCCGAACATCGAAGGATAAGTCCCAGACAGGAGCTGCCCCCACCTCATACTTGTGCTGCCCTGACAGTCCAAAGGGAGCCCTACAAACTGACATCAGGAACCTGGACTGGTGAGTTTTCTTTCCCAGGGAAAAGAGCCGATGTTTGCGCTCCGAGTCCTGTGGCCCTGAGCGGGCAGCTGACTGCAAAAAATCCGAACATCGAAGGATAAGTCCCAGACAGGAGCTGCCCCCACCTCATACTTGTGCTGCCCTGACAGTCCCAGGGGAGCCCTACAAACTGACATCAGGAACCTGGACTGGTGAGTTTTTTTTCCCAGGGAAAAGAGCCGATGTTTGCGCTCCGAGTCCTGTGGCCCTGAGCGGGCAGCTGACCGCAAAAAATCCGAACATCGAAGGATAAGTCCCAGACAGGAGCTGCCCCCACCTCATACTTGTGCTGCCCTGAGAGTCCCAGGGAAGCCCTACAAACTGACATCAGGAACCTGGACTGGTGAGTTTTCTTTCCCAGGGAAAAGAGCCGATGTTTGCGCTCCGAGTCCTGTGGCCCTGAGCCGGCAGCTGAGTGCAAAAAATCCGAACATCGAAGGATAAGTCCCAGACAGGAGCTGCCCCCACCTCATACTTGTGCTGCCCTGACAGTCCCAGGGGAGCCCTACAAACTGACATCAGGAACCTGGACTGGTGAGTTTTCTTTCCCAGGGAAAAGAGCCGATGTTTGCGCTCCGAGTCCTGTGGCCCTGAGCCGGCAGCTGACCGCAAAAAATCCGAACATCGAAGGATAAGTCCCAGACAGGAGCTGCCCCCACCTCATACTTGTGCTGCCCTGACAGTCCCATGCGAGCCCTACAAACTGACATCAGGAACCTGGACTGGTGAGTTTTCTTTCCCAGGGAAAAGAGCCGATGTTTGCGCTCCGAGTCCTGTGGCCCTGAGCCGGCAGCTGACTGCAAAAAATCCGAACATCGAAGGATAAGTCCCAGACAGGAGCTGCCCCCACCTCATACTTGTGCTGCCCTGAGAGTCCCAGGGGAGCCCTACAAACTGACATCAGGAACCTGGACTGGTGAGTTTTCTTTCCCAGGGAAAAGAGCCGATGTTTGCGCTCCGAGTCCTGTGGCCCTGAGCCGGCAGCTGAGTGCAAAAAATCCGAACATCGAAGGATAAGTCCCAGACAGGAGCTGCCCCCACCTCATACTTGTGCTGCCCTGACAGTCCCAGGGGAGCCCTACAAACTGACATCAGGAACCTGGACTGGTGAGTTTTTTTTCCCAGGGAAAAGAGCCGATGTTTGCGCTCCGAGTCCTGTGGCCCTGAGCCGGCAGCTGACTGCAAAAAATCCGAACATCGAAGGATAAGTCCCAGACAGGAGCTGCCCCCACCTCATACTTGTGCTGCCCTGACAGTCCCAGGGGAGCCCTACAAACTGACATCAGGAACCTGGACTGGTGAGTTTTTTTTCCCAGGGAAAAGAGCCGATGTTTGCGCTCCGAGTCCTGTGGCCCTGAGCCGGCAGCTGACCGCAAAAAATCCGAACATCGAAGGATAAGTCCCAGACAGGAGCTGCCCCCACCTCATACTTGTGCTGCCCTGACAGTCCCAGGGGAGCCCTACAAACTGACATCAGGAACCTGGACTGGTGAGTTTTCTTTCCCAGGGAAAAGAGCCGATGTTTGCGCTCCGAGTCCTGTGGCCCTGAGCCGGCAGCTGAGTGCAAAAAATCCGAACATCGAAGGATAAGTCCCAGACAGGAGCTGCCCCCACCTCATACTTGTGCTGCCCTGACAGTCCCAGGGAGCCCTACAAACTGACATCAGGAACCTGGACTGGTGAGTTTTTTTTCCCAGGGAAAAGAGCCGATGTTTGCGCTCCGAGTCCTGTGGCCCTGAGCGGGCAGCTGAGTGCAAAAAATCCGAACATCGAAGGATAAGTCCCAGACAGGAGCTGCCCCCACCTCATACTTGTGCTGCCCTGAGAGTCCAAAAAGAGCTCTACAAACTGACATCAGGAACCTGGACTGGTGAGTTTTCTTTCCCAGGG